AGAGAGAGAGAGAGAGACACAGAGACAGGGAGAGAGAGAGAGATACACAGAGACAGGGAGAGAGAGAGAGAGAGAGAGAGAGAGAGAGAGAGAGAGAGAGACAGAGACAGAGACAGAGACAGAGACAGAGACAGAGACAGAATCAGAGACAGACGAGCAGTCAAACAGACAGATGAACAGACAGACAGACAGACAGACAGACAGACAGACAGACAGACAGACATACCTGGCCACATTGTTATAGATGCACTTGGTCGTCTCGTCCAAACAGATGAGCAGGCGGTTTGCCAAATTGTCCGACTTCTCGCTCGTCTCGATCGTGTTGTTGAAGAGCTACGGGAGAGAGAAGTGGGGTTGGGTGTGTGGGCGGTTTAGTTTTCAGTTTTAGTAAGAGCTTTACGGCACTTGCAACACAATAAGGTCATATAAGTGCCAAAGATTAGAGGTGTTACAAGAGAGTAACAAACATATAAAAGAAGGAGGAGAGGTAAAAACGATAGATGTTTGATAGGAAAGAACGAGCAAACCACACCAGAGCACCTGCCAACCACCCAGCAGTGGTGGGAGGGGGGGGGGGATTACAATACAAGCTAGCATGAGGTAATATTTCAATTGGTCAGTGCTTGAATGTTCTATAAATGCAGGTGTTTTTACGCCGCTGTCCACACAATTTAGGTAATTTAGGACGTCGACTGCTTTAACCCTGCCTGCAAGAATTGGTACGATATCTTCGAAAAGTTTACACACATTAAAATGAACAAAACTTTCCCACAACCTTCCAATACATGTTCAAAAGTGTCCTAAAACCCCCTACAATAAACCGACCTGCTGAAAGCACTTTAGGGAGAACTGGTATGAAATCCTTTAAAAGTTGACAGGAATCAAATCAAACAACTTTCCCACGACCTTCTTCCAGTAGAATATGTTCGAAAGTGGCGTAAAACCCAATACATCAACAAACGGACCTGCTTGAAGTACTTGAGGGAGAACTGGTACATGGGATCCACCTCTCCCATGTCAGCCACTACAAAGTACATGACCGACCCCCTCTCGGCCACCACGCGGTACTTCTCTCTCGCCTGGCTGATCTTCTCCTCCGTGGCTTCTGCCTCGGCCAGACGCTGCTTGATCACACCGCTAGTCACCTGATTGGTGGGGGGGGGGGGGGGGGGGGGGGAGAACGTAGAGACAAGACGTCAGATAACTCACAGATATGTTGATGATGGAAAAGTCAATTTGAAAAACAAAAAAACCTAAAAAACTGCTTCAGATGTGACCGTCTGCAATACAGCAAAAGTTAATAACTATGATGATGAAAATCTAATTTTTAATTTTTAAAAATTTTTTCAAAGAGAAAAGCATAGACCTAGCCTAAATATTTCAGTTTTAGTATGAGCTTTACAGCACTTCCAACACAATAAGTTAATATAAGTGCCTAAGATCAGAGGTGTTACAAGAGAGTAACAAAAATAAAAAAGAAGGAGGAGAGGTAAGGATCATAGATGTTTGAAGGGAAAGAAGGAGTAAACCACACCAGAGCACCCGCCAACCACCCACTAGCCTAAATATAAGGATGAAAATCTAAATTAAAAATTACAAAGAACAACCCCCCATACAATGTGCAATAGAGATAAAGATATATCACGGTGGAAATCTAGATTGAAAAAACAACAAAAAACTGTGGATGTGACCTATGCTCCAACAAAGAAAAACTTCACAAATGGAAATCTAATTTTTTTTTTAAAGTACTCAAAACTGTGGATGTGACTTTGTGCAATGGAAAAAAAGGGCATAATTATGATGATGGAAAGGAAAAAGTCAAGGAAATAAACACCAACAACAACATCAACACATCTGACCTTGGACTCATTAAGCACATTAATCAGCTCCTCATTGTCCAGAATGTTCCCTCCGACTCAAAGAATAGCTTCTTGTCACAACAACAACAACAACAACAACAACAACAACAACAACAACAACCACAACAACAACAACAACAACCCACCTTGGACTCGTTGAGCACATTAATTAGCTCCTCATTGTCCAGAATGTTCCCCTCCGACTCAAAGAGCAGCTTGAGGATCCGGTCCTCGATGGCCTTGAGCTGGTTCTTGTCTGCGTTGATTCGCACGATCAGCTGGTTCCTCTGTTCCTCAAGGTCAGGCCGTTCTAGACGAACCACGTCACTGGGGGAGGGAATGAGAGAGGTGAGGGAGGAACGAGAGAGGTGAGAGGTGAGAGGAGGGAAGGAGGGAGGGAGAGAGGTGAGGGAGGGAGGAGAGAGGTGAGAGGAGGGAGGAGAGAGATGAGAGGAGGGAGGGTATGATAGACAGAGAGGAGGAGGGAGAGAGAGAGAGAGATTGGTACAATCAGCTGGTTCCTCTGTTCCTCAAGGTCGGGCGTTCAAGACGAACTACGTCACTGGGGGAGGGAGGGAGAGAGGTGAGGGAGGGAGGAGAGAGGTGAGAGGAGGGAGGAGAGAGATGAGAGGAGGGAGGGTATGATAGACAGAGAGGAGGAGGGAGAGAGAGAGAGAGATTGGTACAATCAGCTGGTTCCTCTGTTCCTCAAGGTCGGGCGTTCAAGACGAACTACGTCACTGGGGGAGGGAGGGAGAGAGGTGAGGGAGGGAGGAGAGAGGTGAGAGGAGGGAAGGAGGGAGGGAGAGAGGTGAGGGAGGGAGGAGAGAGGTGAGAGGAGG